CTTTATCTCAAGTTCGGGAGCGAGGTAAAGGACCTTTGGATGTGCGTAAAGGACTCGAAATAGGGTTTTGGTTTGTTTTGGGTATTTAAGCCTATAAGTGGGTAGAGTTCAATTCTGGTTTTGATTTTGTGATGATGTGATTGTAGATCTGCTTGAGGAGACACGCGTTGATCCGTGAACTCATTTTCAGTTATTCGAGTTTCTAGTTCTGGTTTGGACCGTGAGTAATAATATTTACTCTATGCATGTTATTTTGTTCTAGTTATAAAATGATTGATGTGATATGATTTCTGATTTTGGAAAAGATAAAAATTGGGACATGTATTAGTTTATTTAGAAATTTCAGTGAGTTATTTGAAAATAGATGATTAATTAAAATTTATACCTCTATTATAATTGTTTTTTCTGAAATCTATGTTAGGAGTTATTCTAGATTCTAGGTTCTGATTCTGATTGTAATTCCAGTTCTAATATGGGATCCCCATGTGACATGTGATATGTGACTCTTCTGACATGATACGCTCTATCGTGAGTTGAAACTCTAATTCCAGTACTAATTCTAATGTGATATGTGATATGTAATTCCTTCGACATGATATACTTTGTGTGAGATGTGATTTCTGATATGAGAAGATACTCCCACGTGGCTTAATCAATTAATTTTGTTTTGAGAACATGAGACATATTTTTATGGCTTATCTGATAATTTGATAAGTTATTGATTGTATACTTATATGTATGGTGATATGGCACACTTTATGATGCATGTCCTAGCATGGCTAAAGTCTGTATTATCATTCACTAGGTTTCGCGACTCATCTATTTTCTAGATCATAACAAGGGCTCGCGTTTCTAATCGAGTAACCCGTTTCCTGCCAAGCCGAATTTGATGTATGGCTTGACGTTCTTATTGATATTTGTACTCATATTTTAGAGTTGTTCCAGTTTATTTCTCAGACAGGGTTGAGATGTGTTAAAGATGTTATGATATTTGGTTTATTTGAGTTTGTATTTTGTTCTCAATTAGAGGCTTACTAGGGTTGTAGAGCCAGCCTTAGTGCCGATCACATGCTCGGATTAGGGTGTGATAAATTGAAAATTAGCTTAGATAAAGTATTTACCCTTATATTTGCCCCTTAAGCCCAATGGCAAGAAATTCAATTGAAAACTGAAGTTTAACCTAATCTTCTGCAAAAACAATTTATGTGATTATAATTATGGATTAGTTGTTAATTCAAATGTACATATTGCTTTTTGTTTGATCACTACTGTATATAGCTCGAGGCATAATTTCAGTGTTATAGACTAGTTGTATTTCTAGTGTCATCTTGCTTGTTATTTGATAAACTACTTAGATCTTGGGACACGTATTCCATACTTCTGGTTGTCATTATAAAATTTAAGTAAATAGTCACTTTATTTAAAATCTAATTAATTAATTTAACCTTTAAATTAATCAAGCCAGAATTAATTAATTCAACTTATCCAATCTTTGAACAATTTCCTATAAATTGATATAAGTTTATTCAACTTTGTAATTTAAATATTTTTGTTATTCTTATGAATTGTAAACTATTTTATCTCATATTTTTAAAAAAATAATATTAAATAGGTATATAGTTATGAGAACGGATATAATATTATTTAGCATAAACAATGATGAGGATTAAACTTTATACCCAATTGAGTACAATGATGGATATGAGAACATATTTTTTAAGTGGAGGCAAGAATACATACATTAGTATTTGTCCAAGCTTAACCCATTTCTACATGCTAATTCAAACAAGTCTAGCTTAAAGCTAGATTTTTAGAACAATAATTTCTACACCTAATAATAATTTAGTTTTTATATTTTCCTTGTTAGTTAAAGCCACGTTTGGATTGCATGTAAAAGATAAGGGGTGATAAGGCAAATTAGGATAACTTTATCCTAACCATACAATGATGCGGTTCTTTTATGCATTATTCGGTTCAAATTGACTACAATCTAGATAAAAAATTGAATAACTAGCCAATGACATTTTTGTCCTACTCTTATTGCTATAGTTGGCATAGTCCCTATTCTTACAATCATCGAGAACGAGCTAGGCTAGGCTAGATGGACTGGTGACTCACCAATCAAGAAGGAGGAAGGGTGAATGTGTTGGGCTTGGCTAGATTGATTGTTAACTCGCTGATCGAGAAGGGGAATGCGCTATGCTAGGCCAAATTGGCAAGGGACTTGACTGCGAATGGAATTAGGAGGGAAATCAAAGGAGTTTGCAAATCGGGGAAGGGGGAAGACAAATGACCAACAGACAAATGACTGAGAGATTAGTGATGAGCCTACACCTTTCTAGTTTGGGAGCTGTGCAATAGAGGGGAAGAGTGATAGATGACCAATCAACGATGCTTGTGGTCGACAAGTTCGGAGAAGGCATCAATTGGAAAATTTCAGAGAAGGCATCGACAAGTTTGTGGGTGGCAATATGATGGCTAGCATGACAAATGGAAGGGATCAATGGCAACAATTGTAGTGGAGGAAGAGAAGGCAGAAGGTGAAAGGAAACATGGGTAAGGGAGTCTTAAAAAAAAATTTACATTATTCATGCCTAATAAAATTATCTTACTCAAATCTTGTAAAAAGGTTATCCTATCCTTGAGTGATAAGGTAGAATAAGGAGGCTTGTCCCAGTTTTTTATTTGGGTTCATAACTTATATGTTAAACATGAGAGATTGAGAAATAAAATAAGATAATTTTATTTTATTTTATGTTATCAGTATAATTAAATACAACTTAAATTAAAAATAATTTCACATATATTGAAATAATTTTCTATTTTATAAAATATTTCTAAGATATTTGAATTACAAAATCATTATTAAAATATTTATTTATTTATTATCTTGTGCAATTGTTGTGTTCCACCTTAGATAGGAATCCGTCACTGCTTTACAGAATTCTAAAATTTTTGTCCTTGAATAATTCGAAGAGCAGCCAATTTCCACCGCCATAAATATCAAGTCACATCTTGTTTCTTCGATTTTAATTAAAATGATAGATTTCAGCTCTGCTCTATCCCCGACACGTGCCCCCTTGTGCTTTGACCTTTGTGTCACACGCCTAGTGCTTTTATCAAAAGAACCTATACCTATAGGCTATATGTGTGCCTGTATCACTCACGCACCCACCTTTTGATTTCTGCTTGCGCCCTTCCTTTTTCCTTTTCCAGTTCAAATGGCAACACAACCCGCAAGGAAATTTGTTCACCGACAACCTTCTAATTGAAACAGGCCAGCTAGATTACTGATTTCCTCGATCGTCGGCCTCTGTAACGTTACCTTGGACTGTTCGGCGTACAAAATTTCACCACTTAAGTAGGCACGTACAACTCACCAAAAGAAAGAGCGAGAAGATGGGGAAGAAGAAGGAAAGCAATGATCAAGACATAGAGCTTACAGAAAAGCTTCACAATTTCCCTACCTTTCTAATCCTTCTCAAAATTACAAAACAGAATACAATCTCTCTGATTTTCTCCCTTTTCTAACTCAAAAATTTTTTCTCAACCGAAAAAATTCCTCTCTTGGCTCGAATGCCCAATAGTAGGGGTTCTGGGCTCCTTCCTATAGCCCTTGGGAGATTTCAATCAGATGAGATCAAATCTTAAACTACTTCCGGATAACGTCCCTATCCAGTAGGATTGTCTCCTATCAAGTTTTGTCGCGATTCTAGTTTGGATATGAGTGATCTGTGTGAGTCGGACCTTTGAAGCTTATCTCTTCAATTTTTGAGTTTATCCCACCTAGAAGCTTTGAACTACTCTGGCTTATCCTTCTGAGAGCTTTGCAAATGTTTTTGGTTGGGTCTTATCTCCTTTGCTATGCTCGGAACAGAGTATTGGCTTTTTTAGGATCGATTGATCCGTTGGGTACAAGACTCTCCTTATTTAATCTTCCTCTGGCATTATTGATCCCCCTAGGCGCTCCTATTTGCATCATAGACGTTGGGGCTTTTACACCGGTCATTATCCTCCTGTCCAATCACAAAAGCTCCTCACGAACCTTGTTTGGCTTGCCTAGCCCAGATACTCGACTTGAAAGGCTGCGACCTGGTTCTCTGTTCTGCACGAGAGACTTAGTCTAACCCAACCCAATTTGCTGGCTCAACTTGGCTCCCCTAAGCTAGTTCGACCTGCTCCAACCTGTTTAGCTAGCCGAGCCTATCTTGGCCCGATTTGCTTCAATCTGCCTGGCCCGATCTGATTGATAACTAAGCCTATATCCTAAGGCCCCCTTAACCTAGCCCATCCAAATCCGTTTGGCCCATTTTGGCGACCTAATTCAGCAACCCACTTTCAACTTAAGCCATCCTCTTGGCCCAACCCAGTGACTTATTGGTTTGATCCGGTTCAACTTAATGGGGCTAAATGTGCGAATCTGTATCTGCCAAAATACCCTTGCGGCACAATGGGAATCGGTAATGGGGATCTGCCAAATTACCCTTCCGGCGCAGAGCTGATAGTGCCCTCTCTCTCATCTCGCAACGACAAAGACGACACGCGCAATCAATCCCTCCTAAAATCAGACCCGTGAAGATCCACTCATCCCACTTCCCTCCAAATATTTTCAATTCTAAATTTCCAATCAATCAGCAATATCCACATAGCCCTCCCCCCTGCATAAAGTACTCGTGATTCAGAATAAAGAAATGCAGCAGAGGAGAGCCTCAAAACCGTCGTTCACTTCCAAGTTGCAGTGCCTCCTCATTTCAATGACTTCTCTCTTTATTTTCGCTCTCCTCTTTTCCCTCATCTTCTCCCTCTCTCTTTTCTCCTGCACACCACGGCACTGCATTTCCTCTTCCTTTATTTTCCAAATCCGATCTGCTTCGTCCACTCCGGCGTCGATCCCCCCTGAGATTAAACAAGCATGCAAGGCCACACGGTTCCCAGACACGTGCGAATCCACCCTCACTCTCTCCAATCTCGTCCCTCCCAATCCCTATCCCACCCAGATTATGCAGTCCGCCATGTGGCTTTCTTCCACAGCCTCAACAACGCACTGTCCATGGCCCCGCTCCATCCTCGACTCTTCCGCAGATAATCCCAACCGCTACAACGCAGCTAGCAACTGCTTGGAGATGCTACACAGCTCCGATTATCGCATACATTCAACGACCGAAGCTCTTCCACGTGGTAGGATCAAGGACGCCCGTGCTTGGATGAGCGGGGCTCTATTTCACCATACGATTGCTGGTCGGCGTTAAGGTACGTGAACAGTACTCAAGCAGTGCACGAGACGATGTCGTTCTTAGATTCTTTGATTAAGATGACGAGCAATGCGCTGAGCATGATAACGTCATATGACATCTTTGGGAACGAAACCGGGTCGTGGAGGCAGCCAATGACGGAGCGGGCCGGGTTCTGGGAGAGCGGTAGTGAGGGAAGCGACGGGTTGAGTTACAAGGGCGGGTTACCATCGGGTCTAACGGCAGACGTTACGGTTTGTAAGGGTGAGGAAAAGAAGTGCGACCACAAAACGGTGCAGGAGGCAGTGGACGCGGCGCCTGATAACCTAATAGCGGATAAACGGTTTGTGATTCGAATTCAAGAAGGGGTATACGAAGAGACGGTGAGGGTTCCGTTAGAGAAAAAAAATCTCGCGTTTTTGGGCGATGGCATGGGCAAAACACAGTCATTACGGGCTCACTAAACGGTGGCCAACCCGGAATTACCACTTACAACACTGCCACAGTCGGTAATCTCCCTAACCGGATACCTCGCTGTTTCCCCCAGCTGTTTTGTTTCCCGGAAATAATTGTAATCCGGTTGACGAAGGTGAGGCCGGTTAAAGAATGTCGCCCTCGTCGTCGTCACCGGCGATCATGGCCTCTGCGGGAGGGTGAGCAACACGATTGTTGTGCTTCCGTCGAGCGACTGATCCCATTTTATCCCAGTCTAATTTGTAAAAGCATTTTGGAATCCTAAAACTCCAGTCCTCCTCATATCCTGAAAATATCTCCATTTAGTATTGGTCTAACATTTACCATTCCTGATATGGAGCTTTCTCGGTTGAATTACTGTCTGGAAATTAGGCATTACAAGTCATGGCGAGCTATAGATCCTGATTTATTCTCAAAATTGCTGCTGCAATAAATTTCCTGTGATTTGAAAGCAATTTAATGCTGCTTTAATTAGTGCTTATTGATAAGGGTTCTGGAGGGTTGCTAAAGAGGAAGGGAAGGGCAGAGGGGTTTTTTCTATAGTTCTTTACACACACACACACACACACACACACACACACACACACACACACATATATATATCATTTCTTCGTGTTGTTGGCAGGTGTTCTTGGAGATGGATTTATAGCAAGTGATCTGACCATCCAGAACACGGCAGGTCCAAACGCGCACCAAGCAGTGGCATTCCGATCAGATAGTGATCTATCCATCATTGTGAACTGTGAATTCCTTAGCAACCAAGACACTCTGTATGCCCACGGCCTGCGCCAGTTCTATAAATCATGCCGCATCGAAGGAAATGTCGACTTCATATTTGGAATTCTGCTTCATTCTTCCAAGATTGCATTATTTTGGTTCGTCCCCGCCAACTCAAACCAGAAAAGGGTGAGAACAATGCTGTCACAGCACACGGTAGAACTGACCCTGCCCAATCAACAGGATTTGTCTTCCACAATTGCTTGGTGAATGGTACCGAGGACTACATGGTTTTATATCGTAGAAAGCCTCAGGCTCACAGAAATTTTCTGGGGAGACCTGGAAGGAGTATTCCAGGACAGTTTTCATTCAGTGCACCTTGGAGGCTATTATTAAACCGCTAGGGTGGTTGCCTTGGCGGGGGGAGTTTGCATTGAAGACACTATTTTATGGAGAGTTCGATAATTCTGGGCCAGGAGCTAATTTGTCTGGGAGAGTGCCGTGGAGTAATCAAATCCTTGCCGAGCATGTTTACATGTATTCAGTGCAGAATTTCATTCAAGGAGATGAGTGGATTCCTACATCTTGATTACCACTGGATAGTGATTATTATGTTCATTGTGCTCTTCTCAGGCAGAAATTCGTAGGATTAGGTACATAAGAGTGGGAAGGTTTGAGATCCCTTTGGAAGTGCAAATCATTGAAGATATTAAAATATTGACGGTGATCTTTTGTTAATGATGGTTGCATGACTTATCAAGTGCACCATAACATTTTCAGCCATATACAAACTTGAGATCCTTTATTTTTAATTTTTTGATCCAGAATGTAATATTTAAGGATTTAGAAATGTTAGGAAAAGAGTTTTTTTACTGTCTTTGAGATTATGTATTGGGTTAAACTGAATGCTCATTTGCTGGCTTTAATAACTATGCATTTTTGTTCGATTAACAAAACTTTATTGTACTATACCTCCACCACACAATCTAACATAAATTTACGGGGAAAAAAAACAATTATATTAACTACAATACCACAATAAAAATTCATCTCATAAACTCTAATAAAATATGCTATCTTTGCAGGCTATTGCTGTCATTCGCAGCAGAAAAGTCAAAGTATTTGGTGAATATGATACTTCACATGTGAACTTTGCCTTTTTTGACTCACGCCAAGGTAACGCGGGCAGCAGGAGCACTGCCGGCTGGTTTGTCCTACTGCTATACATGTGAACGGGATCTCGCATTCATGTAACCTTGCTCCCACTGAAACGAGGACCAAAACAGCAAGACAAAAATCTCTTTCACCTTTCTTGTTCCGTATTTTTTGGTCTTTGATCAGAGATTTTAGTAGGAATCAAAACCATATCCCTAGGTGATCTTATTAACTCTGACACAAGGAAATGATTATTAATAATAAAACTCTTCGGACAAAAAATATAATAACAAGAATTTTGTTTTAAATTTAAAAATAATAACAAAATCTTTATATTTTAAAATTAATAAATTTTTTTGTCAATTTCAATTTTAATAATTATCACATATAAATAATATAATATATATTTGTTTAGTTACTAACACTTTGTATCATATATATATACATATATATATAGTACAAAGCTCATTTTATTTAGTATTTTGTAAAGAGTATTTGGGCATCAATGTGGCAAGTTCCCAGCACCCACATAGGAAAAAGTGATGCTGATATGGCACATGTTAACCTTTTGAAAGAAATTAATAACTTCTATAGAATAATTTGAATAAAACAAAAAGCACCAGGAGGTGTTAGTGTTTGCAAGCCGTTCTCCGCGCCGAGTGACAACAATCCCGAAAATGACTTATGGCAAATCTTCAATCGCCCACGGACACCCATTTGTCGGAGATGAAACTGTACTCGAACAGCAAAACGAGCTCAACCGGATCATAACATCTTCGAAAGCCCTAAAAAACCACCAGCCAGCTTACTATTCCTTCAAGTTCGTTTATCTGAAATTAATGTGCTTGGAGATGGGATAAGATTGCGTTGGCCTGAGATGATTGATTTTGAAACCGTTGCTTTGAGATCTCATCTCTTTATAATATAATGTGATTCTGAAAATTGCTTTCTCTTTATTTCTTGAATGTTGCTGTCAAGCTAGTTATTTGGGTCATTAATCGAAGAAATTGGAAAAAGAAGATGATATTTGCTGCTGCATTGAAGATCACGAGATTAAATTAAAATTATTATTTTATTGAAGGAGGGCCAGTTGACCAATGAAAGTCCAAGTAGAACATTGTAGCCGAGCGGAACGTCAATCTAAACAATACAAGTAAAAGCTAAGCAGAATGAGGAACTGAAAGCAGAATGAGGGCCAACGGTCTCTTTCTACTAAGCCATTAGCTTCTGATATTTATATAGATCATGTTAGATTAATGGGTTAAGAAGAATGTGATGTAGTTGTCAACATGTTGTAAATAAAAAAATTTCTTTATAAACGAATATTCATTTAAATATGCTATGATCCATTGAATTTGTTTGAGCACACACATATGTTTGTTTGAGTTCATGAGTACATGAAATAGCATGATGATAGATTAGAGATTAGTCTTCTCATATGGATAATCAAGTCTAATGCTAAGTGCATCCAGAGATTAGATGGTTTTGAGAAAAGCTATCTATTGTTGACTAGAGAAAGAGAGTCAAGATGAGATCATTTTGTTTATAATGATCATGGTAAATGTTTAGTAGATACATATACTTAACTTGTCAAAGAAGCCAGACAAAGGTTCATTATGTGGTTAATATGTGAGTGAATGAACTCAGGTTGAATAATATGGTGTGTTTGAACTTAAGCTTGAGCAATGTTGAAATTTACAAGATTAAAATGACATGCGCTCTTGTAGAAAAAAAGCAATATCGTAGCATGTGAATCATATCACATCTGCTAGAATGATCAAAAAGAATTAGTAGGATAATGGATTCCTACTTCTCTACTATGCGAGACCTTTAATTGTTAAATCTCAGTTTTATACTCTTATAGACTTTTCACGGTAATTTAAGATTTTAATTTAGTGTTGCTATTTTAGCGTGTTACTTATAACCATGAATCATTTTGTTTAAAGGGATATGTCTAAGAAAGTAACTTATTCAAATTAAGGATTACTAGTTGAAAAGGAAGACAATTTTTATCGACATCCGTACATGTAGTCACCTATTGACTAGTTATATTTATTTACTTTGTATGAATACCATAATTGTGATTACATTGTGTTAGGAAAAGTGGTTAAGCATGCTCTTATATTAAGGGGCAAGAGATGTTTGAACTAATGCGATTAAGAATTAGTCTAAAGTATAGTAAGATATTATACATATATGTTTATTTTCTTAATGAGTAGTTTTGTACTCATAATCAATACATGACAAGATGCTCAAGTATACTTGCTAGTTGCACAAGTTACTTGTCTTAGTATGAAAATCAAGATTTGTTAATATTGTGATCAAATGGGTTGTGGTTGACTGCGTCATGTGCGAGTAGGAGATGCTAGAAGTCCAAGTCAAATTAGGTCTACCTTATTATCCCAAAATGCAACCCAAAAACGGGCCAGTTGGGTATTTATTATGAAAACGAAGTGTAGAAAAAATTAGTTGTATAATAAAACTTAAGTTAATTAAATTTATAAATTCACGCAAAGTAAGTACAAAACAATTTTAAGTAAAATAAAGATAGTAAGATAAGAAATGCAAACTTTTTATAATTGTTCGAATTTATATCTAAGCCTACGTCCATTTTCTTGAGCTTTAATTGATCGAGATTTCACAAATAAAATTTTTAATTTTGTGAGTTTTAAACACTAATACAAATTGTAGCAGAGATGAAGTAGAAATATAGTAAATTTTCTTAAGTAGAATTAATTATTACTCATGTACAAAATAATCTCATTTCAAAGAGATATTCACAAAAACAAACAATTTGTTGTAGACACTCTTTATTTAACTAGTAGACAATGTAGCATAAAAAATATGAGAGAGAATTAGGAAACTTTGAGAGGTTATTCTTTGATACTTATTCTTTCAATTTATGCTTCTTTTATAAATAAAATCATCAAAGAGATATTACAGAAATATTGGACAAGTCTTGGCCTTTTGTGAGATGGTAGAAGACAAATTAAAATCTTTTATCAGTAATAATAGCACATAAGCTCACTTTGGAAAACAAAAAAAAAAGGCCAGCTTCTATTGTTCAAAAAATCCTATAAGAAACTTTGAAAACTCTGCAAACACGGAAAAAACCATTAGAGAATCACTAGTCATTTGAGAGAAATGATCTATTTTTCAAGGACATGTCAAACTAAAAAACTACTTCCGTCATAATTTATTAGTTAAATTCAAAATTGTTTAGAGACTTAAATCCACAACAAAAAAATAATAAATTATATACTTTTGAAAAATTTATTACATCTACTTTTCTTTGAAATTAGATTTGCATAAATTAGATTTTTATATTTTAAGATATGACCAAAATACCATAGTATACTTATTCTATCTATTAACAGTGTGGCCTAATAGAATAACTCATTTAAAAAAATTGTATCTACTTAACTATAAGTACAAAACGTACATGTAATATATTTATTCAAAGCTTGGTACGTTTATTTTACAAGTAAAACAAAGTTAGAATTTTTAGTAGTATCACAAAATATATTTTACTATTTAAAACTGATATGATATAGATTTCAATAATGACTTTTCTAGAAGATAATATATAAAATTGATATAAAAAATTGTTTTAATATAGAAGATTGTATGAGTCAAATTATACATTCAAATAAAGGTAATTGAGTTTAATTTCATATAAAATTGACTTTGCTATTTTTACAGTTTTATATAATAAGATATAATCAATTTATTTTATGTATGTTTAATTTGACAATTTCACTTTTTAGTACAACATATAATAAATATATCTCCAAATAATAAATTCAACAATATGAATTATTTATATTTAACAATATTGACTTGTTCATTATAAAATATATACATATAATAATTTTAATTTGTTTTTATTATTATCAAAATAAATATGAAACTTTGAAACTTATAATCTCTCCCTTATTAGTGATGGCAAAACAAATATATTCATTAAGCATATGTCATATAAATTCTCTCCTTTTTGACATCATCCAAAAGATTAACTATATAAACTCTCTCTGAATTAAATACAATTAATAATAACTATATACTCAAGTCTATAAGGTCAAGTTCTCTTTTGATAGAACAAAATTTTCTTTCATTAAGAAGTTTTGTAAAAATATCTGCTAGTTAATAGTTGATCCCAATAAATTTAAGTATTATGTTCCATTTCTGAACATGATCTATCAAGAAGTTGTCACATCCCACCCACGAACTCGAGCAAAGTACAACAGTGGAATAGAGTTTAACAACCTCATATGCCCGGGGTTTACTAAAGAAGGCCAAACCCTATTTTACCTGTTGAGTTAACTAACTAACTCACATCCATGGAACTGAATAACACAACATAATTCAATATAACATAACAAGATAATTAAGTCATTATCATAATTGAAACATAAATATTTTATGTAACTTCTT